GAAAACGCTATTTTCAAGGCACGATTTTATAAATTCGAAAAGAAAAACCAACGCATCGTCCGACAAAACCCATTTGAAGCCTTTAATACCACTGAGATTCGTCGCCTTAACAACAAGACATTTACTCAGAAAGTTCCAAAAACAGCCAACACCACTGAGTAAGAGGTATATGCTGCAAAATAGAAAACGACTAATCGAACTGCCTCTGAACAGAAACGAATACAGTGAGTTTACGTGAAACAAAAACGAAGATAACAAAAAGTGGGATAAAATTTCTTGACGAAGCATGCGCACTAGCCAATTCAAAATCAGTTCGGACGATCTTACTTTGTTTTTCTTTGTAAATGTTTTATAGTCGCATTTTTCTCACCATCAATTCTGCAACTGGCAATTTTTCCATTCTTCTCTATTTTGAGGCCACCGCCACCATGGAACCAAAAAGACGTTCAAAAGTACCCTCCTCCTGCACGGACGAGCTCCCCCATGTGTTTAATTTTGGGTATTTGTTTCTTTTCGCCTCAGCTTTCCTTTTTTGCCATACACTGCTTTGGTAAAATCACAAAAAAACTAATTCATCCGCGCCATTTAGGGGAAGAAAATGCCAAAGCGAATAATAAAGATACGCTTACAATCGCAGCGTCGATATCGCTGTACAAGACGCCATACAGTTGATAAGCAAACTTCACAGTACGGGTTTCGCCCCGTTGCTGGTTGCAGTGAAAAACGATGCCCTCGGAAGTTGATTTCACGCGAAACTGGAGCTTTTTTCACCGGATCTGTCAGCTCTTCCTGAAAAACCCATTTTGAACTTTTTTAGGATTCACTCAGTTTTTTGAAAACTCATTTTGAAGTTTTTCGGCACTTCTTTGGGATTTATTTTCGTTGTTAAGGGGCGAGGGGAGGGGGTTCCACTCCTTTCAAGAAATGAATGCCCAAATTTGTTTCAAAAATAAAATGATCCAAAAAATGTAAGGTTTTTCGAGTTAAATTCGAAAGACAGCTGTCTTCTTTTCCTTTACAATACTATCTCCTAATTTCCTCATTTTTTTGTCGAAAAATTTAACAAAAATGGAAAATTTTAAGATTATTATATTACAGTAAATTTGCATCAGCTAATTATTATGCCTAACTATTTGGCATTTTTTTTTTTTTTTTTGGATTTTTGATGTTTTTTTTTCCCTGTAATACAGCACTAAAAAGCTTTTAAAGTCAAAGTTTGCTGTCCTATTTCTCTTCCCATCTCAGACATTTTTTAGTAGGGCTCGTGATATAGTCCAAGTAGCCACACAAAAATATCAACAGCAATCGCTTGCTGGCACTCATTTCCAAGGATTACTTACAGAAAAGTTAAGACAGCTTGATTCCCTGGCAAAAAAAGGCCTAAAAAAACTGTGAATGTTATGATTCTTAAAAAAATAAAACTACCTTCAGGCAGTCAAGTTCGAGCTGGCATTCAACAAGCTTTTCCATAAACTGCATTCGTTCCACACTTTTTTCGTCACCCTGAATTAACTTTTTTTAAAGTTTCCTGAAACTTTTTAGAAAATTTTTTTAAAATAACGATTTCTTAAATTTTTTCATAATTTTCTCTAACTGCTCATTTCCAGTCATTCAGGTAGCCCTGCTTGATTTTTTCTTATACAAAAGCCAGGAAAGGGGCTATGAGAAAAAGCCGGAAGGAATAGTGAGGAAGACATCTAGAGCTAAGTCCCAGATTTGAAAAGATAGAAATACCGGGATCA